GCAGCAGTGCTAACCACTGAGCCACCGTGCCACCAACTACTCTCTACACAGTCACTACTCTCCTTCCGGGCTACCACACAAGCTGATTCAAGTGCAGTTGCAAATTCTAGCAATGAATTCTGTATCATTATGAAGCAATAGCTGCCTGCCCTTCAGGGAAGTTAATACACTGTGAGTCAAGTTACTCCTAATGAAGAAAGCACTATTTCCATTAAATGTTCATTAACAAGGATTTAACAGTCTTAAACTTGCCTGTGCATGGACAACTCTTCACAGAAGCAATGTCAAGAGAAGGGACAAATGTGAACATTGATTTCGTAGTTTGTGAGGCTAGCAATCTCAATCAGTTCACGTCCTAACACTTAGAGAAATATATCCTGCCACATTGGAAACTTTGCGATAGTGTTCTCAGTTGCTTTCTGTCCGTGAGCTAAAAGCTGACTGTGCAAGCCACACAGAGAGGGAAGGAGGGAGACAGAGTGTTAATATTTCTGAACCAGATGAAAAGATGGATCAACTAGATGCAAAGGGACAAGATGAGAGATAGCATTCAGGAAATGTGAGGGGGCGGAGAGAATATAGGAGAAAAGGGGTAGGGTACAATGTCAGATTAGGGTCTGCTGGTCTTTACAAAGAAAAAGTCAGCCTTTCATATTTAATCCACACAGAAACATTTTTGGAAGCCTAAACAAAAGTGAAGCATTAGGCGTGACATATCCTGGTCTTGCACCAGCACAAGGGAGTGTGGCAGCTGCACGCTTCCATTGACCTGCAGCCTGAGTCAGTTTCCATGACATTTTGTGTCAAAGAGCAATGCAATTTTATAACCCTGGGTTTAAAACTGTCAGAGACCTGTGAGAACAGGCCACATTCAGACTGCAGCATGCTTTCAAAGTAAAATAAGATTGATTTTTGAAGAAATAGAAAAATCCTTGGGAGGAATGAGAAACAGAACAATTTATTTTACAGATAAAAATGGAAACTCATTTAGTGATCACTGGCAGAAAAATTTCCAGACCAATATTTGACTCATTTGTTTAAAATAGTTCCTTAATAGGAAAGCTAATTTCATACAAATGGGATATATATTTTTAAACCAGCAGTCCTCTTACTGTACTTCTTGAGAATATGTCTTCAGATGAGACATTAAACTAAATCCTCTGTCTGCCCTCTCAGCAGATGTAAAAGATCCCAGCACACTATTTTGAAGGCAGCAGGGAATTTAGTCCTGCTTTCCTGACCAATATTTATCCTAAAATCAAAACACTTAAATACAATTGTCAGGCCATTGGCATATTGCAGTTTGTTGGGAATTGTGCTGTTCACAAATTGGCTGACATGTTTGCTACAGTACCACAGTGTCTACACTTTAGAAATACTTCATTGTTTAAAACACCCCTTGATCATGAAAGGTGCTATGTAAATGTAGTCCTTTCTTTCTTTATAACAACAGCAGCATTTTACACAAAATTATGAAGAGCAGGAAAACAAATAATTTAGCTGAACTAGTTTACGATGGAAAATAGAAGTATGTAGATACTATCAAATGAAGAGTCCGATAACTTGGCTTAAAATCAAAGGGGATTTTTAAAAAATAAAATGAACCATAATTTTCCTCTTTCAACTTAGAGAGTGAAGGAATTTACCAGGTGATTACATTCACAACCATCATAATTTTAGCATTGCCTCCCTTATCAACAAATCCATACAGTAAGTTATATAGCTGGTGACTATATGACAAGTTGCCATAGAAACCAGGCAGAAAGCTACTTCAATATTATTCAGGCTGAAGGAGATAGAACCTAGGAATTTAAAACAAAATTCTTTTTTTTTAAAGAAGTCTCTACCTGCTCTCCCTCATTTTGTACCTCTTTCCTTCTGTTTATCTGTTCTTACGTTATGGTAATTGTATTCCTTTCAGGCACATTTTTCAGCTTTTCTCTTTCTAGGTCTTTTCCCCGTAGCTACTTTTTGGTTTAATTGTCATGCTCATACCCATCCACTCTCCCTCATGCATGCGCTCTCTGTCTTTCCCTCAACTATGTACAAGATCTTCACCACACACTCCCACAGACCTGCACTAGCCACACTTACATGTACACCAACATCACCATTAGACCATAAATGTGGAACAGAAGTAGGCCATTCTGCCCGTTGAGTCTGCTGTGCCATCCAATGGGATCATGGCTGATCTGATCATCCTCAACTCCACTTTCCTGCCCTTTGATTCCCTGACTGATTAAAAACCTGTCTATCTCAGCCATGAAAACACATAACCACCCAGCCTCTACAGCCCCCTGTGGTAAAGAATGCCACAGATTCATTACCCTCTGAACTCTCATTTCTCTTATTCTGAGATTATGCACTCTGGTCCTAGATTCTCCCACAGGGAAAACACAAGTGCATCTTCCCTTTGTCTCCCACACATGAATACACACAAACATGTGAGTGCAATCTCTCTCACACAGATACATGCACCTCACAACCTATTCTCATCAGAACAATAAAAATGAACATGGCTACTTTAACAAACATGAATTATATATTTAAAACAGGCTCTCACATGTACATTGACATTTTTGTGAAATAATTTTTGACAAGAATAATAAAATTCAAGCTTCAGCTGTTCTTATGTTTTGATATTAAAAAAGCATTCTATCTTTAAGTCACAGATTCGCAGAAGGGTTACAGCACGGAACAAGCTCATTTGGCCTATCATGCCTGTGCTGACTCCCTGAAAGAGCAATTTACCTTGTGCCGCATTGCACTTTCTCCCTTATCCCCTGCATATTCCTCCTTTTCAGGTAATAACCCTATTCTCTTTTGAATGCCTCTTGGGTGGTGCATTCCAACCATTCACTGTGTGACCAGGGTTTTTCCTCCTGTCACCGTTGCTTCTTTTTCCAATTATCTTAAAACTGTGCCCCCTCTGCTCTATGATTCTTTCACCAATAACTTCAAATACCAGAAGTTTTCTGTACTATCGTAATCTCCGTGGTGTCCGAGTAGTCAGTTGTGGGTACGAGTGAGAAGGCTCTCTGCCAATAAGTTTTATTTAAGGCAAAGTGATTTATACTGTAAATAAAGAATAACAGTAATGTGTATATCCCCTGCATTACATTTCTAATATTTACTGCATGTTTTTACATGGATTATGTAGAACTGTTGATCATCCAGAATATTTGATCAACTGGCACACTCCTGGTCCTATAGGTGTCGGTCAATAAAAAGTTTGCTATATAATGAGAGCTGGGCTCTTGGGGAGCTGGAGTGCGTTTTCTCCTAAAACAATTCCATATTGATTTACTTCCTTATTTTTTCCCTTCTTTCTTTGATTTTTGTTATTGTTACACTGCTCCTGTGGTGGGCAGTGTTGGTAACTTGTTATTTACGGTGTTTCATTTAATTAGTGGTGGGGTCTGAAAAAATGTTTAAAAAGCTGGCTTCTTTGGGTTCAAGTCCCACTTGGCGGAGTGTGCAATAATATATCCAATCAGGTTGGTTTAGCAAATAAGAGCTGGGTTCTTCCTCATTGGGGAGTTTGGTTCTGGACAGGGAAATTGTCCAGAAGGGAAACTGGTGTTTGTGCTAAACTATAGATTTACAACAAAATCCTTGTAAATCTCTGAAAGTCTTTTGCTGCCTAATTTAGGACATGGATATTGGTCTGCTAATCAAGGGGGAGGGATGCAGAGTTAGGAGGTGAGTTAACTGCAACAGATTTCCCATACTCTGATCCACTCTCATAGACACATTATTAATGGACTAAAAGAATCACAGCAATCTATCTGGAATATTGTTAATACTTTACACCCACAGAAATTGCATTCTGGCAATTGCAGACACAGGTATAATTGCAGGTTAATTCCCTGCAGGTAACAGAGTAACAACTGTGGAACAATATAAAGTCCGAGTTCGAGCTCATGAGAAGGGCTGTGAGCTGAATGAAGCTGTTCAAAGATGCAAGATACAATTTTATAGATAGGTTTATTCAAGGACGTCTAAACAAAATCACAAAGAGGCCAATGTGCACGTGGATTTAGTGTAAACCATTCCCACTGCTCTATAACCTTTACCTTAATGAAAAAGGTGTCATGTATTAACAAATGCCTACTATGTGCAGGGCCTGTGTTTTGAATATATATAGCTTCTAGCATGTGTAAATGAATCAGATTGTGACTCATGATACAGGATGAATTGTACATCCCTGAAAATTAAACGTTTGTGGGCTGATTTGCCCGGTTTCCATGAATATTAGGGAGTACAGAATTTCAAGTCTTACTTTAGCCTTCAGACAGATGGGGCAGTTCCAAGTCAACTTACATGCTTGCCGGTATATTCTTGCATCTGTATCATGTGTAACGATGGTTATGAAAGCAAGTCTCCGCAGATCGCAAATAGCACCTTAATTGTAAAACTAAAATAATTGGGATGAAACCTTTAAACTTCGCATCTCCGAAACTTCCCACAAATTTTGGAGAACTTTACACTTGTGGTCCCTTGTACATCTGATTTACAGTGCCATGCCATTGGCTGCCACCCATATTCTGGAACTCGTTCTATAAACACCTCTGCCTCTCTATTCTCTTGGCAACATTGAAGTGTTTCTATCCCATAGCCAAACCTTTGGTCATTACTACTTATACCTCCTTATATGGCTTGGTGCCCCGTTTTGGTGGAAAAATGTTCCTGCAAAGCACTTTGGAGAATTGCATTATGTTCGCAGTGTTGTATAAATTCAAATTGATGTTGTTGAATATAGGCCAGAAATCTATGTCTCAGGATTAGAACATTAACATGTCTAAAGTTACCTAGTATTTTTATAATGCACACTTCTTGTAATACAATCATTAGCATTGTCAGCAGGAAAGACTAAATTTCAAACATCCTGATGCATATTTATCTGCAGAATGTATAAGAAATTGATAATCTGTGATAATCAACACTGAACAGGAGAGTTTGCAGAAAGCCTCAGTAAAATTCGGGAGATTTTTGCATACCAGTCTCAACATCCCAGACGTAAGCTGCACCATCATCACATCCAACTATAAGGAGGTCTTCTGCTGGACGCCATTTTATTATCTTCACAGGTGAAAGATGTTTTCTTGCATGCATCAAGCATGTTCGGTATTGAAGACTCAACAATGCTACAGAATTATCATTTGCTAAGCAGCAAATACACTGGTGGATCTCTGGCTAATGGAATAAAAATGAGTGACATGTTTAGTCTTTACAAAGTAAAAGTCAGAAAGAATCAAACACTCCTATCTTAATTCTGGAGAATGCAACAAAGCAATGAATTGCATATCACTTTAAAACAGAACATTAGTATTGTGTGGGGAGGCAATGGCCTCGTGGTATTATCACTTGACTGCTAATCCAGAGACCCAAGTAGTGTTCTGGGGACCTGGATTCACATCCTGCCATGGCAGATGATGGAATTTGAATTCAATAAAATAAAGTCTGGAACTAAGAGTCCAATGATGACCATGGATCCATTGTCAATTGTCAGGAAAAACCCAACTGGTCTTTTAAGAAAGGAATCGGCCATCCTACCCGGTCTGGCCTATATGTGACTCCAGCCCCACAGCAATGTGGTCAACTCTTAACTGCCCTCTGGGCAATTAGGGATGGGCAATAAATGCTGGCCTAACCAGTGACACCTTCATTCCATGAATGAATAAAAAAAAAACAGAAATTGCTGAAGAAACTCAACAGGTCTACCAGCATCTGTGAAGAAAGAAATAGAGTTAACATTTCAAGTCCAGTGATCCTTCTTCAGAACTGGACAAAGCAGAAGATCTAAAGGAGGATCACTTGACTCAAAACATTACTTTCTCTCCACTGATGCTGCCAGACCTGCTGATTTTCTCCAGCAATTTCTGATATTGTTTCAGACCTTCAGCATCTGCAGTACTTTGTTTTATGTTAGAGTTGTTGCCTTCTAACAAATGCAAAACTAAACAAGCAGCACCAAAGAGCAAAAATCCTGATTCAGTTCCAGTAGTATTTTCATCAACAATAAAAATTCACAGAAACCCTTAATAATCATCCCCTCCCTCCCTTTCCCAAACCATCATCGCCTGGGTTAGGCATGTTTCCAAAGCAGCAGTCATCTTCAAATCCCTCACTCCCAAACGACCGAATCTTCATGCGAGTCCTGACAACGCATACTGTTAGCTTTTTGTTGTCACAATGGACTCCACTCCTGCCTTCACCCAATGAGAGACACGTCCAGCAATGGCAGCTGGATAACAATTAGAATCCGGGACCCTGCTGCTTTTGCTTCTTCGACCCAGATGTGCTACTGCCAATTATAACTCCCCTACTGTGCCATGACTGAAATCTTGCACAGAAAATGAAATAGCTGCTTCCTTATGCCATTATAGAATGTATTTGTAATTGACACAGCTTGGTGCTGTAGACGAGAGAAAGATAGGGAAATGGTTATGGTTATCATAGCTACAAATGCGAGCCCTATGCAGAATTCTACTCTGGGACACAAAGCCTTAGTTATTTTAGGCACTGTGCCAGCAAATATATTGATGTGCTTTCCAATGAGTACATCTAGTAAAGAAACGATTGTGTACACACCATTACAACGCACATTACATCCATTTAAAACCTATTAAAATGTTAAATACAGTAATAAAACTGTTTAATACATAACATTTTTATATCAACATCAATATCATGATTTTATCAGCAGTAAATCAATGGTTTATTATTGTCTCAATATGTCATAGGTCAGCCACGTCCACAGTGTGAGAACATTTATTTACTTTTGTTTTTTATCAGTACTTACACTGCAGTCTTCTGGGCATACTGACAGGTTCAGAACTGGGCCTGCGTGCAACACAAATTTGTGCAGAACCTCTCCTTTGAACATATCCCACCAAATCACATTCGAATCCTCATCTCCAGAGACCAACCAGCTGGTGTCAAAGGTTGTAGATTTATTGAATGGGTGGAGGAGACAGGTGACTTTAGCACAGTGGCCCACCAGAATCCTGTGGGGTAACCAGGCTGAAAGAACAAATTCCTTTTAATCTTATAATTGGATTTTCAACATTTGAAACAAAGCCCTTTGTACCAAAACAGACACTTTGCAGACATCTCACCTGACAGCTCCAGGTCAACATCTTAAAATTGCGTGGGAGGGGGATTAAAAATCACCTTGTTACAAGGTGAAATCTAAATGGCATTATTAGGTTCACCATTTCTCGGGGATTTTTTTTCAGTAATGTTGCAAGCTACAAATAACATCAAAGTATCCACATTACAGCTCCCTCTAGCAACTAACGTGCGGCCTGCAAACATAAATCCTTTTGTTCTTGACAACATGAGGAAAATTCATTTAACAGATCCCATGGTACATACAGGAGTGAAAAAAGTCATTGTCAGTATTGTTCAATTAGGTTACCGCCTTGTGCCCCCAAAACGTAGCCTTTTATTCATTCTTGGGACATTCTTGAACCATTTCACCAGTTTGGTGAAAGTGATCCCCCAAGTTGTCTAATATGTAGGTGTAGGAATTTGATCCAGCCACAATGAAGGAACAGTGATAAAAGTCCTAAACAAATTGGTGTGTGAGTTGGAAGGGAACTCAGAAACGGTGATGTTCCCATGTCCCAACTGCCTTTTACACAGTGGTGCTGTAAAAGGTAATGGTTCGCAAGGAGTTAATATTGATGCTAAAATGAGCTCCAATCAATTCAAAGACAGTGCACAGTCTTTGAGTTGAGACAGAGAGTACTGCACAGGTGCCTGAAGTGAAAAGATGTGTTCCATACAGTTCCCAAGAGTCCTTAGTAATTATACCAAGCAAGTTAATGTAAACTGTACTTATTGCTATCATGCAACAAACCTACTTTATTATGCAAGGCAACTGCCTCTTCTGTTTAGACTCATCAGTGGGCTATTTGCTACCACTGACAATTAAATAGGACCTAGGCACAGCATACAGAAAGGAGGACTGGTGGCAGTGAACAACCCAAACTGGAATACCACATGCTGATACTGGTGGTGGCTAAAGATATGGCAAGTGGACATTGTAGGGTTGACAGATGCTATCAAAGACTTGATGCCTTGCTGCAATGCATGCTATAGGCAGTGTCTAATGTCATCACAGTACACCAGTTGTGGAGAAGTGGATCTTGAATTTGGAGTTTTCCATGTCTATCAATTGGGATCCTCCATGCTGGATAATGTTGAGCTTCTTGGATGTTGTTGTAGCAGGTCACATCCAGCAAAGTGGAGTCACATTCCTGACTTGGGCCCTGTCAGTTTGAAGAGTCAAGAGGTAGGCCACTTGTGACAGAATACAAAGCCTATTGTCACATCTATTGTATAGAGAGGTGGCTGATAATGAACACATATCCCTGGATCTTGGTGGTGAGGGACTTGGTAATGCCAGAGATTGTCAAACAGGTGGAAGTTATGTTTGTTCTTGCCATTTGCCAACCAAAACTTGGGTGATGTTCAGATCTTGATGCATGTGGCGTAAAATGCTTTATTGATGAATGGAGCTGGCTGCTGTGTAACCATCAGCGGACAGCCCCATGTTTGGCTTCATAAAAGAGGGAAGGTCATTGATGCAGCAGCTGAAGATGGTTAGGTTGAAGATACTACCTTCTGGAACAATACAAAGAGATCCTTGTGGCTGCAGTAGCCTCAAGCAACTACACTTACACTAGGCATCACTTTGGCATTGGAAAACCTAGCCACTGATTATTTTACTGGGATTCCTTGACTCGGTTAAATACTGCCTCGATGTCAAGAACAGCCACATTTCTCCACCTCTAGAAAACAATAAGGAGAGAAATAAAACTGGACACCTCATCCTTTGCTTGAAATTAACAAGAAAGTTACTGACCTCTAACTGATCTTGACTCTATAACCTGCTGTGGCCCTTCAATCCTCCAAGATGCCTGCGCTCCTCTCACTTTGGCCTTTTGAGCACCCCCAATTTTAACGGCACCACCATGAGAGGCAGTTGTATAGTTGCAATATTACTAGTCCAGTAAACTAGAGACTCAGGCTAATGATTTTAGGATGTGGGTTCAAATCCCATCATGTCAGATGGTGAAACTTAAATTCAATTAATAAATCTGCGATGAAAAGCAAGTCTAATTGAGACCACAAAACCGTTGGCAAATATTGGAAATCCCATCTGAGTTCATGTCCTTTTGGGAAGGAAATATCTCATCCTTAACTCATCTGGCTGACATGTGATTCCAGCCCCACGGCATTGTGGCTGATATCTAGCTGTCCTCTGAAATAGTCTCGCAATCCACTCAGCAGTATCTAAATCACTGCGAAGCTGAAAGGAAGGAATGACGTAGGCACTGGAAATGACAATGGTAAACCCAGCCCTTTCTACCTTGCAAAGTCCTTCTTGTGTGAAAATTGAAAGCATTGTCGCACAGATTGATCAACAGCTTGACACTGTCCATAAAGTCCAATTCCATGAACATGACTATGTCTCAGATGCTACCATCGCCTTCCCTATTTCATCAGCACAGCAGACCCACCAAAGGTGGTGGGACAGTGGTATATTCTCAAGGGGGAGTTGTCCCTGGAAGTCTTCCACCTTGAATTGAGACCCCATGAAATCTCATGAGATTGGGTGAAACATGGGCAAGGAAACCTTCTGCTGTTTACCACATACTGCCCTTCTTTGGCTCTTAAATCAGGACACTCCTATTTTGAATACCAATTGGAGGGGTACCAAAGGTGGCAAGGGCACAGAATGTAACTTTGGCAATGGGCTTCAACATCTATCACCGTGAGTGACTCAATATTACCATTACTGCCTGAACTGGCTAGATCCTAACAGGCATAACTGTTAGACTGGGTCTGTGGCAGGCAGTGAGGAAATGAACAAGATGGAAATTCATACTTGACCTGTGCATACCAATCTATGTGTAGCAGATTTATCTGTCTGTTGCAGTATTGGTACGAGTGACCACCATATGGTTCTTGTGGAGACAAAGATGAATTTCTGCATTGCATCTTGTAAATGATACACACCTTGGCCTCCTCCTTAGAACGCCTGCATCACCAATGCCAGTCTTCAGCTAACTCAATTTGATCACTGATGATTAAGAGTTTACCTATGGGACGGTAATTGATTGGATTGGATTTGTCCTGCTTTTTGTGGACAGTACATAACTAGGCAATTTTTCACGTTGCCGGGTAGATGCTAATGTTGCGATTGTACAGGAACAACTTGGCTGGAGAGCAGCTAATTCTAGAGCACAAGTCTTTAAAACTATTGCTGAAATGTTGTCAGGGTCAATAGCATTTGCAATATCTAGTGCCTTTAGTTATTTTCTTGATATTTAAGGAACCCAAGTAAAACTGAAATCAATGGTAATCAGGGGAAAAGAACACAGATTGGAGTCATACCTGGCACAAAAGAAGATAGCTTCTTGTTTGTTGGAGGTCAATCATTTCAGTCCCAGGAGCATCAAAGTAGGAATTCCTCAGTGTAGTGTTCTAGGCCCAGAATTTTTAGCTTTTTTAATAATGACCTTCCTGCCATCATGAGGCCAGGAGTGGGGCTGTTTACTGATGATTGCTCAATGTTCAGCACTATTCATGATTCTTCAGATACTGAACAAAACTGAGGCTTAGACTGAGAGGTAGTGTGTAACATTTCTGGCACACAAATATCAGACAATGACCATATCAAACAAGAGACAATCTGACCATCTCCCTCTATTATTCAGGAGCAGTGCCATTGCCAAATCAGCAAACATCAATGACCAGAAACTGAAATGGACCACTCATACCAATAGCATGGCTACAAGAGTGGGTTACAGGCTTGGCAATCTATGGCAAGTAACTTACTCCCAGGCTCCTATAGACCTGTCCACCATCTAAAAATCACAAGTCAGGAGTGTGATGAAATACACAATATCCAGTCAAAACAATCCCACTTGATTAGCAGCCCCATCCACCACATTCAACATTCACTACCTCCACCAACGACACACTGTGGCACAGTGTGTGCCATCTACAAGATGCAATGCAGCAACTCAACTCAGCTTTTCGATTGTACTTTCCAAACCCGTGACCTGTAGTATCTAGAAGGATAAGGACAACAGATACTTCACAGCACTGACTCCATCTCCGCCAAGCTGCACACCATCCTGACTTGGAACTATGGTGAAACCACAATGAGTAAAATTCAGATAACCAAAAACTCTTGTTGTAGTTAAGTTGTCAAGTGTTCCCGCTGGCAGAATAGGAAATCCAATCAAAAGTGCCAGAGATAAGTCAAAAGGTCCAGACTGGCAATTCTAGATTAGCTGAACCAACGGCTGCTTGTCATATAACTGCACCAACTAATCAGTGCAGTGTTAGGCTACACTGCAGCATAGAATCACAAGAAGGTTTACAGCAATGGCTGCAAAATGGTCTTGCCCACTTCCTGAAAGATTATGCATCAAGAGACACTTTTAACACGGAGAAAACCAGACTGTTTTACTATGTTTCCTTTCATGTTTAAGGTGTAATGGGGAAAGTGAAGAAGGAAAGAAACAAGTCACTGCTATAGACACCAACATGCATAGCACCAAAAAGCTGCTGCTTTGTTTGAAAGGTGAAATGAAAGGTGTGTGTATGTATGTGTGTGTGTATAGAATATATATATATATGTGTATATATCCTATATATATAGAAATAAATAAAAATAATATCATTTGTGGGAGATTGGATTTCATAATAGTGGCATAGTTAGTTACTTTTGTGAAAGGTTTTCTTTAAAACAAATGAAGGTCAGAAAGTCCTTCTGGAACAGTGACCTAATCCAGTGCGTGACAGAGAGCAGGTGGTTGCAATCCCCCGTGATGTTAATGAAAAGTTGTTAATATATGGTGTTTATGGCAGGTAGAGTAAACATGTAACTTTGCTTTCAGTTCAGAAAAGTCAACGATGTGGAGTTGCTGGTGTTGGACTGCGGTGAACAAAGTCAGAAGTCACCCAACACCAGGTTATAGTCCAACAGGTTTATTTGAAATCACAAGCTTTCTCAGCACTGCTCCTTCGTCAGGTAAAGCAGCAGCACTCCAAAAACTTGTGATTTCAAATGAACCTGTTGGATTATAACCCGGTGTCATGTGACTTCACAAAAATCAAAGAAGAGCAAGTATTCTTTATAAATTCAGCTCAAAAGCGAGAGTTTTAGTTCAGTTCAGAAGACAGCTGTGTTGCATTTATATGCCAGTTTAAAAGAAGGATTCAAGGCAGTTCAGGGAATACATTACATCAGTAGATAGGTAACTCGTGAAATTTTCAAACAGGAGACTTGATTGGAAATCTGCAGAGCATTAGAATTGCGAAAGTTTAGGCTCTCAAATCTGTAAAAAGTTCACGTCAGCAGATTAGGAAAGGATTCACTGACCTGTCACCACAGTCCACAATAAAGAATTTGGAATGAGTTGGTTAAGTCGAATCTTGCGGAGTTGAGATGGGGGTAATTTTTTCTCTGGACTACGACCGATAGTATTGGGAAATAGGATGAAGCTTTGTTTTGATGCGCATCTTGAGATAGTTCATAACATCAAATAGACTGAGGTAGCTTGGTTTGTTTTCTTTATTTGTTCTTTTGTGTAATAAATTTCTATTCTGTTTTAATTGTCATTCTGGGATCTGATGTGTCCAGTAGTAACATTGTGAATATCAAACCATTGAGGCATGGATCAGAAACATTAACAAAATGCAGCATCAGAAATATAGGAAGATGATCACCCTGAAGAGTCTGATGAATGCCTACCTGCTCACATGCCTGTTTCTCTAGCTATAGCCGCAAAGGCTGTAGACATGATCCAGGATTTTGCACTGAAGTGTGAGAACATGGAAAACATATCTGTCTCTAAGTGATCTGAAGAGAGCACATTAAGTAAAAAAAGATGACTGAGTTTTTCCAGAGCTAAGTCCCAATGTTTTTCAATGCCTTTTGCTGTCCAAGGTCAGGCCGTTGTATGGTGTGAACAAATTGAAAAAATAAAGACATTTTCACATATTTCCTGCATCACTGTGTTTTCATTTTTTCTGACTTTGAACACATTTGTAAGCAAATTGGATTACATGGGGCTTCCTTGGCTACCTCAAAGCTCAGCTTAACACAAACTTGTGGGTGGGTCGTCTACAATTCTTGTGATTTTATTATTTATTGTTGTTCCTTCACAATCATTGAACTTTCTTCCTAACAGCACGTGGGTGTACTTAGACACCAGCCCAGACATCAGCAGTTCAAGAAGATGGTTCATCACCACCTTCACAAGGGCAATTAGGGATGTGCAATAAAGTCTGCACAGCTAGCAATTCCCACGTCTCATGAATGAATACATTTTTCAAAATTACATATGCTGTCAGCAGCCATTATTATAAACTCTCAAGCTCACTCATTCTCACTACCTCTCTTTTCTTGTAAAGCTATTGGTGGTCAGCCTTTTTTCTCCTCCACAGATGCTGCCAGACCTGCTGAGCTTTTCCAGCAACTTTGTTTTTGTTAATGTCTACTTGTGCTGCTCAGTGTCCTAATTTGTTTTATAACACTCTTGTGAAATGTCTTGACATATTTTAATTGGTGCTGCAGAAATACAAGTTGTCATTGTTAATGTTGTTAAGGTGTCACTAACTACAATAACCTGAATTCTCATGGGGAGCAAGTGAGTAGGAGACCAGTTTAGCATAAAATGTCACAACTGTGCTCCAAACTTCAGAATACCCCTGTACTATACCACATGATATCTACTGGATATAGATAATCCATGAATGTACAGTTGCATTGAATAGTACACACAGGATTTGACAAAGATGTGCAGACCAACATGCTAATAAAAAAAGCATTTCAACCTGCAAGGGTATAATTCCTGATTAGTGTAAAGATTTGTAATGAAGAGCATGTTTACAGGTCTTAAACTACAGTCGGATGAACTGATACAGATCAACATAGTTGATTGGTGAACTGAAGGATTTACATCAGAATGCTGAAAGAAGGCTGTTAATGTGGACACTTTCATTCAGAATAGTTGTTCTTCAAAACCTCGCTTATTAGTGTTACATTTCTAAATGTATTCGGTGAACGAGGAAATCTGAAGTCCGTCTTTGTTCAACCTAGATTTGTTAACAAAGTCAAACACTACAAGTATATAGATCCTCTCTCAACTCGCCTCCTCAGTTTCAATATACGTCCCTTTATATGTGCTCAAAGTAATAGAAGCCTTCCCTCCTGTTTATCCTTACTCTCAGGTTATCCAATTAATGAGTCACAACAATTTATTTTATCCAATTAAATTTGCCCTGTCACAGAAGTAGATTTCTTAATACTGAGTTAAGAAAAAGGAGGTCTTGTGCTGAAACGGGTAACATCCCTCTCTCTGGGCCAGAAGCTTTGGGTTCAAGACCCAGTCGAGGATGTGATGGTCAAGGGAGCTGTGTCCATAAAGTAGCAAATAGGTTGAGCATCAAATCCTTCCAACACATGTCATGGTGACAGCAGGAATATCCTGGTCAACTGCGTGATTGGAAGAATGGGGCAGCACGGTGGCTCAGTGGTTAGCACAGCTGCCTCACAGTGCCAGGGGACCCAGGCTCAATTCCAGCCTCGGGTGACTGTAGAGTTTGCACATTCTCCCATTGTCTGTGTGGGTTTTCTCAGCCCAACGATGTGCAGATTAGCTAGATTAGCCATGCTGAATTAGCAATAGTGTCCAGGGATGTACAGACTAGGTGGATTAGCCATGGGAAATGCAGGGTTACAGGGATCGGGTAGGGGGGTGGGATGGTCTTCAGAAAGTCAGTGTGAACTTGTTGGGCCAAATGGCCTGTTTCCATGCTGTAGGGATTCTATGAAAATAGAGCCTTTTCATAGACCCAGGCAACAACATACACGTTGCCACAGAAACTTGAACTTCCCGAGTGATCTGCTACATGCCCACCTGTTAAAAACAATCTGAAGCAGCAAAATGTATTTTAGAATTGGTTACATTTTACAAGCAATTGATGCAATTACCACCTCTCAAACGAAGAGATTTTCATTCATGAACCCGGCAGAAGTCTGTATTTGATTGTAAAATGTTTAGCATGTGATAAGTCCTGACAGTAAATTACAAATTAACACAGATTAAATTTAAGCAGATTTTGAAACTTTTCGCTGTTGACCTCAGAATGAATGGGAGAATCGGATTCGCCAATTGCATGACATATTTTCGCTTCATCGCTCAGCAAAAACAAACACTATCTCAGCAACAAAATACGTATCTAACAGTAAAGAAGATCAGCTATCTCAGTAATAGTGTACATAAATGATTTGGAGGAAAACGTAGCTGGTCTAATTAGTAAGTTTGCAGACGATACAAAGATTGGTGGAGCTACAGATAGTGAGGAGGATTGTCAGACGATACAGCAGGATATAGATCATTTGGAGGCATGGGAAGATAAATAGCAGATGGAGTTTAATCTGGACAAATGTGAGGTGATGCATTTTGGAAGGTCAAATACAGGTGGAAATTCAGATCCAACTCATGCTTGCAGTGTTTGAATCATCTTAAGTCCTTAGCTAACAATGAATATACAGGAAACCTGGCTTGAATACATTAAACAACTTAGTGAAAATAAGATGAGGAGGATTTTTACCTGCCAAGCACATGGAGTTCTGTGTTCATGAAATTTTCCTCTCAATGTGCAAGTAACACTATTGATGATTATTTAAACTTTCTGTTTGCACATCTAATGGAAAATAAAACTGGATATTATCTGCTTATCTGTCTGTCTGAGCATGTAATTTTTCAAAGCAAATCAACATTTTAAAAGCTTTAATCTTTTAAATTGCTCCACAGCCTCACCCGTCCCTATTTCCGTAATCTGCTCTGGTCTCCAACCGTTTCAGATATCTGCCCTCATCTAATTCTGGTCTATCAAGAATCCATAATTTCAATGTCTCCACATTGGTGGCCATGCCTTTAGTTACCATGACCCTAAGATCTGGAAAACCCTCCCAAAACATTGATACCTCTCCACCTCACTTTCCTCCTGTAAGATGCTGCCTACAACCTATCATATCAATCAAGATTCGGTCACCTAAGTTATGTAGCCTTATGTCAATTTGTGTCAAATTTTGCTCTATAACAATTCCAAGGAACATCCTGACATGGTTTATTTCACTGAAGGCATTATATTAACACAATGTCTTCTTGCTGCTGTTGTCATGTTTAGGGACAGAAATCCTTCATATTTCTATGCGTAGCGTGCTGCTGAATAACTTCCATTTTGCCCAGAAAATCCAAGAGAGACACAACTTATTCATTTCTGAGCTGATCTTGCAAAAGCCAGTGACACTCCCTGAGACAATTACTGAATACAACTTTTTAGACTTATGTGACTGAACAGAATTTTATAAATTCAGCAGGATATTCTCGATTTTCCTGTTTCAGTTACTGACCTTATCTTTAATAGTTATTTTGTGTCACTTCCCTCACAAAACTAGTAATGCAAGAGTTAATCAGAGAAGAAGTCAAATAGACCAGGAAAGGATCATTACTCAATATCAGCCTGCAGTTTCACAGGACAATGGTGAGAGACATCACACAAAGCCTTTCAGTATCTCAAATGCTTGACAGTGTAAATAAAGTTACAGACAATGTTTATTTTATTATTTACTGTATATTTATCTTTGTACGATTGTACTTTTTGCCCTGTTGCAATTAAATGGCAATTTCCATTATCTACCAGAGATGAGGCTGGTGGGGGACTAATTAAGGTTTTGAAGCATTAAGTGTGAAGCTAGAAGGAGCTTAAAACCAAGGTGCTATTCAAGTGTAGAAGGCTTTCAGCCGCAATGGCCACAAGGTTAACGAATGCATCAATTGGGTAATTTGGATTCTTGGACAGTGAATGTTTTGAAAAAGCTTTAACATGTGTAACAAAATCAGTACCTTTCAACAAAGAGTGTTCCATCAGGAGTTGAGCCCGGGCAGCATGCAAACCAAGAGTGATTATAATTCTCCCATTCTCACATCCACAAACCAGATTGTCAAGATTGGGAATATAGACACTAGCTGTAATCAAACCAGTCTGGATTCCATTTGGAAGTACCCCAAGCTGACCAGTTATTTCTTCTGTCAAGGTCTTATGTTGTTCAAATGCTCCTTGAAGACTCAACGTCGTAGCTATCTGAATCTCTGAAAGTTGAATGCAAGAAAAGTGCATGTAAAGAAGGACCTTCAGTTCACTTGATCCCCTGAGTATCAACTCACTGTCCTCTCATTATGTTCTGGGGACCTGCGCTCAAATCCCATGATGGCATATGGTGGAATTTTAATTCAACAAAACAATATCTGGAATTAAGGATCTAATGATGACCGTGAAACTATCGCTGATTGTCAGAAAGACCAGTCTCGTTCACTAATATCCTTTAGGGAAGGAAATCTGCCATCCTTACCTGGTCTGGCCTACATGTGACTCCGAATGCACAGCAATGTGCTTAACTCTTAACTGCCCTCTGGGCAATTAGGGTCGGGCGATAAATGCTGACCTAGCCAGTAATGCCTGTCTCCCACAAACAAATAAAAAAAAGTTCTACCTGCTGTTTAAATAAATCCAACAAATACAAAACACAATTTCAAATAGACACATTTTAAAAAAAAACAGAATGAAGAGACTTGTCAAATTTTGAGACTTGAATGAATTTAACAAAGACAAGTTTTTACATTATACATCAGCAAGCATAATTACAGAGATAAAATAACAAATTACCAGAAAAAAAGTAAAGGTGCTTTTATACTTCTAGTTTAGAGGATGATATTATAATTATTAATGGATTCTCACGTATTTAGTTTGATTTTCTTTTCCTCAATAATTGAAAGAAAAATCAATCAGAAAGTCAGGTTCCAGTAAAATTCTCTTTTACCTTGAGGGGAACCATCGCGGTTGGCCATTGGAACGTCAGGAATGTGCCACATGGAAATCGTTCCTGATGCTTCACCACAGAACAGAATCTTATGAAACGGTTCCTTACGCTCGTTGATAAAAATCAGAATTGCCTGGAGAAACTGAAGAAGGTAACGTGTTGGAAAAATGTTTCTTTCACTCCATTATGCGACGCTCAATTTGCCTTCTTCGAATCTTAATGTAAAAACTGATCTTTTCTATCTAATTTTAAAACACTTCAACCATTTCAACCATGTCTGAAATTTCATATCGAGATGGAGTTTTGTAATAAGCTGAACCTAGTAAATCTCATTGTTCTATCCATTTGGCACCTCAGGTACTTACTGAATCAATACCTGGAGCAAACCTCATTTCATCGGTTTCAGAAATAAAGCAATGAACAGAAATTCCACTTGAAAACATTCGATTCATCTGCTCCTTCTCCGTGTCTCATTTTTATTATTTTAACTTCAATTTTTTTTCCACCCAGTCTGCTAATTCTCATTTCTTTTGTTCAAAGAGGTTTTAGACACTGCCTCACCCACCTTTTTTCTTCAACTCCACGCACTTTGGAACTGGGAACTGCATGCCAAAAACACACTCTGATTCATTGAGAACTGGCTCAATAAGGTTGTTTTGTCAGCAGTTTAAGCTCAGTGGACGAAAGACTAAGCTTATCTTTGCTATTGCCCTGACAATGTAAGGTGTCAGAAATACCAGGAGAGTTTTTAAGTGACTTGCATTCAAGTACTGTTTTAAAGATTAGTGCTAGATAACATGGCTAGAGCTGGTATGCCCCTCCCCATGGTCGTGGGTTGGCATGTGGGTGGAGGGGGCATTAAATTGGGTCCCATTGTGGAGTCCCATCACCTATATCCACTACTGGCATTCCATGAGCAATGATGGAGGTGTCAAGGCCACCAGATTAGAGGAGACCAATTCATAGCCACTTAAAGGCCTTCTCCCACCCACACCTGAATTTACCTATGATACAGGGTGCCTTTAGCAAGTGACAAGGCCTTTGTTGTTGGTTGCTGGTAGGGGGTGTCCGCTGCCTGTGCCCACAGGAGGCCTTCCCATCCTGATACTTCCCCGTACCCTATCTGAACTTGAACTCAGTCTCTCACTCTCATTACCAGGGCCTAGCAGGCCAGCCTGGGAAGCCCAAGATTTACCAATCTGTCCAGCTCCTCTTTACTACAAACTGCGTGTAATCTCAGCTCCCTGAGGAACAGCCACTAGCTATCCGATTGGCCAGTTGCCCTCAGGGGATGGGGTGTAGTCCCTGCCCCTGGTAAGACCGAAATTCCCACATGGAGGGAGTTAATGGCTGGATCTAAGGAACGGGAATTCAGCCAAGCAGAGGTCAGCTTGTCCCCGAGTTTTAAACTGGGGACAGGAGTACTGCTGCAGCAAAAGACTTCCCCCTACAAAATGAGAAGAAGCCAATTCTGTAAAATTACAGAGCGAAACACATCGACAACATACAGCTATCTTGATTTAATACAAACACACGTAAAATACCACTTCTTCCTTCAAGCTTCTATTACTTACATTTATGAGGTAGTCGAGACGATGAGACTGAACGTCATAGACTGATAATCGTCCATATTGCATTACAACCCAACAAAGCAGTCATTAAAAGTCACTTACACTCGAAGAATCACAGCTAGAAGGCAGTTTTGTTTACACAGGGTGTTAATGCCACGCGGAGGTGGTAAGAATATAGATTTGATGTGTCATCTCCTCCCATATGGTGAGTTTTTAATCTTCACCAGGCGCCTCAAGGCAACAGTGCCCAGTGGATGGGAGGTAAAGTCAAACATGAAGAGTCCAGTCAAACTACACTCATCTACCCCTTAATGACCTGACCAGTTACAGAACAGCATTCCCAGTGACTCAAAATTCAAAGCCCAACAACCTTTATGATCATATAGGAACGACCATCAGTATTCAAGATGGGAAAGGTGCCAAACTCGATACAATATAATGAGAGCAGGGTACACAGTTGTCGCAGAAGCCAGCTGAGTGGGTCTGTTGTAGCCAAAGGGCCTGACCTTCTGAGCTAAAATTTTGGAATTGCTCTCTTTTTATGAAAAATATTACGGCATTAAAATGTTACCTTACAAGCAATGCTTCTCTGATAAAAATTCTCAATGGTACTTTTAAAATGGCTTAAAACACAAGATGAAAAGGGAACTCAAAGCTGCAACTTTCCAAGATTGTAACAATGTTCAGCAGGATGAAATACATAACATCAAAAGCGAAATCTCTTGTCCTTTCTATCAGTGTGTTAAAGCATTTGATGGTTCTGACTAATACCATATCAAAATATGTTTAAACTCTTGTAATGTAACATGGAAAAGCATTAATATCAATGTTCAGATGATGTTTTAATTGACTGTGCTGTGCTCTTAAGGGTTATGTCATCTGAACCTCCAATTAGTGTGGTGCCTTTGTTCAGCTTGCTTTCAAGCCCCGTATAGATTACAATTGTTATTACATTTGGCTACAGTCCATTCCCATCATATCATAAAAATGTCTTTCTAAAACACTTGTTCACCCAATTAAACCTGTACAGAAGTTTGTGGAAAGACTTATCAATAAAAAGAGGAGTGCAGTTCCTCTCTGTAAAGTAGTGGTAGCTCTTCATCATTCAAAACGTTTCTATCCTAACACTCAGTATTCTTAGAAATATGTTCAGAGATTCTTATTTCTAATTTGTGCAAAACTGAGAAGATTTGAGTGTTTATCACAGTCTGTTAAAACTTTAATACAATCAGTACCATACTTGTTGCAAATCTGTCGGCTTGATTTTGAGACCCCACCGGGACCAGGGAACAGAAGCAGCAGGCATTGTGCCACTGGGCAGCATGTTAGTTCTTGGGTTCTATTCTGTCCTCAGCCCATTTGCCCAGAGGCAGTTGTGGGGGGAGGGTGGCAGAGCTATTCAACCACAAGCATCAGATAGCTAGTTTAATGAACTTGTGGCCACCTTCAGCCAATTAAAGGAGGCCTGGGATTTTGCCCGGAGTATGGTACCTGGAGGTGGCATACAGGCAGCAGATCAAGAGTGCAGATCTCCATACATGCTTGGAGATCAACCCTGTATTCCTGGGTGCAGCAGCATTAACAGGTGGCCCCCTGGAGAGAGATTCCCCTCACAATCCACTGCCTGGACTGAATGTGGGAGGTGACTCGAAAGAAGTGTACTAGATCCAGATAATCTTGGCAAGGTCAATGTAGAAGGGATGTTTCCTTTTGTGAGTGTCTCCCAAACTAGAGAGATACTTTTTCTTTAACATCATTAAGGATCAACGTTTTAGGACAGAGATGAGGAAAAATAATTTTCTCTCAGAGGATTGTGCCTCTTTGGAACTCTGTCTCTGAAGGCAGTGGAGATGGGGGTCATTGAACATGTTTAAGGGAAAGGTAGACTTATGTCCTCATCTAACAAGAATCAAAGGTTATTGGGATAGAGGGGAACATGGAATTCTGTAGACAAACAGATTGGCCCTAATCTTATTGAAGGGCTGAATGATATACTTTTGTTCCTAAACGGCATATTTGTATGTCCAGCTGATGCCTCCATAGACATGTGGTGGTCAGGCTGCAAAAGGTCTGGAGTTAGAGAGGGATCTCCACTGTGGAGCATCCAATCCCTCAATTATCTGCCAAGATGTCCTACTGCTGCTTCCAAGTGGAAATACCTCCAGCTTTGGGATTTTGTACGCCATTCTTAATTGGATGGTAAATGTAGTTTCTGATCATTTTCTGGCTGTGTGGCTTAAATTGAGTGGCTTCTGATTTCCATTTCAGCCTGATAGTGGGATTCACAAGCCCAGAGGAAAAATTCAAATCTAACGGCAGATATATGGAACTTGATGATCAGAATGATACTGCTGACTACTGCTTTGCTGGGATGGGGGTTGGGGGAAGATGTTGGTGGCTACCGAGTACATGATTTGGGTCTGAATTTTACAGGGAGGAGTGGGTCCCAAACCAGCAGACTTTAACAATGTTGCCCAAATCAATTACCAGCTCCAAATGACCTCATAACCAGGTGGGTGTCAGGTCTCTATCCCTGAGTGAGACTAGGTTTCTCACTTGAGAGCTGACGGTCAATCTGCCAGAAGCCAGCAGGGGGCACGGCTGGGGCTTTAATCACCTCTATGAAGAAGAACAGTGGTGCCCAGAATGAGGCAAGTCTCAGGCTTTGAGTGTGGGGAGGAGCCAGGCAGCCTAGGGAGAGGGGAAAAGAGGGAAGGGGGAGGGGGACTGCTTTTAGGGGTCGGGTGTGGAAGCGCAAAGGGAAGTGAGCTACATCTTGGGGGTTGCCTGAAGCAAACAGAGCACCTTCCCTTCCCTTCTACCTTTCAGTTTCTTTTTTAAGAAAACAACTTTCTCACTCTTATCCATCTTCCAAAGTTTCCTCATCTCTGTTTTAAATTATTTTTGAACTATGACCCCGAGTTCTACATTCTCCCATATTTGACATCCACCAGTCAAATCTCTCAGAATTTTATTTGTTTTAAATGAAGTCACTTCTAAACTCCAGAGGATACAGATGTAGCCTGTCTAGCCTTTTGCAACCTGCTCATTCTAGGTATTAGTCTAGTAAACTTTCCCTGAACTACTTCCAATGCATTATCATCTTTCTATAAGTACAGTGACCAGTACTATACACAGTACTCCAGAAGTGGTCTCACCAATATCCTGTATAACTGAAGCATAACTTTGTCTACTCTTGCATTCAATTCTCTTCACATAAACCAGAACATTCTATTAGCTCTCCTGATTACTTGCTGTACCTGCATTCTAACCTTCTGTAGTTCATGCACTGGGACACCATAATGGCAGTGAAGGCAAATCGAGAGCCTTAAGTGAGCTGTTAAGAGCCCCAGTAGGTTTTGGGACAGGTGCCTACAGGTGGATGCCTTAACCAGCTCCTCTAGAGATTATTGTGGCACAGTGGTGGAGTACCTACCTCTGAAAACAGGAGGCCTGGATTCTAATCCTATCTGCTCCAGAGGTGTGTTGCAGCATCTCTGAACAGATTGATCAGCACCCAGCTCCTGTATTACGGGGATCAGGGCAGGGTGAATGGGAACACAGTGAGCTAGCCATCATATTTCATGTGGCCCCTTTCACCCACACTTCTCTGTTCTGTCAAAAACCTTCCTGGAACGTGGAGTTGTAAAAAACAGCTCTGGGTGTCATGAATACATTGGTCAATATTAAATGCATTATGGTATTCAGAAAAAAAAAATCTTCGCCTAGAATGTGGCTCTGACCATCACTGAGTAGTTGTGGCAAGTTGCATGGATGAATCAAAGGGGTGGCTAGGTCAGTGCATAATGGAAAAAGGAGCAGAAGAATATTCTAATAGAGTTTGGTCAAGTAGGGTGGGAGAAGGCTCATGCAGAGAATAAGTTCCGGCACAGGTCAGATGGGCCAAATGGCCTGGTATAGTTCTCTGTAGATGATGTTTGAATATCAGTAATCAATTGATGAATATTTATATATAACTGAGTTAATACCTTGAAATAATACAAAGAAACTTTGTACAAGTACATACTAACACACTGAAATTTCAAGGCAAAGTTTAAGAAGTCTACACGTTCCACTCCATTGTCTTTAAAAAAACATTCTCAAAGATTTCTTACTCAAGGTAGTTCAAGACCACAAAACTCTCCACGTATATGCATATAAAAATCTGTAACCTGTCAACAGTTTTGAGTGGATTCAGAATTTAAACACTTTTTAGAATTACAGTGCATTGAACGTTAAATTTTATGTTCAAAAATGTACATTACCTTCCCATTAACATCTTTTGATGTATAGCAGAGCAGACGAGGTGAAACAGTTTCAGTTAATGAATGTCCATGGGAAGTAAAAATGCCAGCTTTAAACAGGCTGCTGTAAAGACATTGAAGAATTTACTGGTCAAGAAGTGGGTTTACTGCTGAGCACAAGTTAAAGCCAGAGAGATTTGTGATTTCTATCAGGGAAAGGCCAACAAGTTGAAATCACATGCAATGTACATAATATTAAAGGAGCTGTTTTGAAATCCATTCCTCCACAATTTTAACATGAACTGGCTGCCACTGAAGTGGCAAACAATGGGAACTCAGAAAAATATGTAAACACATTTGTCACCAACACAATTCCAACCACGTTTATCTACCTAGATTATAAAACTAGTTCCCAGCGATTCAAAATTCCACACTTCTTAAATGATCCATTTTGCCCTCCGGAACATCCATTATTTTGCCTGCAGCATCAGAAGGATTCTTTCTCATGTTAATAAAATGAATAGCCTTTACTTATTAAGTTCCTCCTCACAACTGCGGCAGGAAGTTCTGGCCGATTACTCCCATTCTTTAGACTCTCACAGTGTGAGCCAATGTGCGCAGCTGCCAACATCCTGACAAATGTCCAACTCTGGGAAGGCTTTGTTTGCATTGGTTCTTTCTTTTTGTAAAATATCAGTCCCACGCTGGGATTTTCATGATGGAGTGAATGGAACATCCACCACTCGTGCCGTACCTGAACTTTTCACGTGGTTTCCCCATCTGACCCCACCTGTCAGGCAGCTGGTAAATGTAGCTCTGCCCGGTCTCGGTCCAAATGATTATTTTGTTTGCAGCCAAGACTTCCCCACCAGCCCAGTGGTGACCGGTATTGCAGTTCACAAAACACAGCAATGAGAAGTCACAGTAATCAAATACCTACAGCAGAACAATGAGAGAATAAGACGTCTGCAATAGAAGCACCATTTTGTCTTTACATCTGTGTAACGCTTTAATCCAGTAAAACATCCCAAAGTACTTCACACCAACATAACTAGACAAACACATCCAGCGAGTCAAAGAGCAGATATTAGGATACCTCAGTCAAAGATAGTACATCTTAAAGGAGGATGGAGAGAGATAGAAAAGCAGACAGAGATAGGAGGAAAATTCTGGAATGTAGGGCCGAGGCAGGTGGATGGCCCAACTGCCAGTAACAGGACACAGGATAGAATGAGAGGTCATAGTTTTAGGCCAGGAGGTGGCAGATTTAAAACAGAGATGACAAAGAACTATTTCTTTCAAAGCGTTCTAAATCCATGGATTTCATTATCCAAAAGTGATTACCCAAAAGTGTGGACACCAGAATACTGAATAAATTTAAGGAGGAGGTAGATTTTTAATTGGTAATGGGTTTAAAGGTTAAGGGGAACTGGCAGGAAAGTGGAGTTGAGACAGAGATGAGATCAGCCATGATTGTATCAAAATAGTGGAGCGGGCTGAATTGTCCATTCCTGCTCCTAGTTCTTCTGGTTTTTATGACGCAAGAGTTATAGGAATGCAAAGTTCTTCAAAGATGTAACAAGGAGAGTGCACAAAGGGGGACCAGTGGTTGAGAAGTTGGATTTCCAAAAGGCATTTGATAGGATGCCCCATAAATGGGAAGGGTTTGTGATGCAGGAGGTAACATATTGGCATGGACAGAAGATCAGCTAACTAACAGGAAAGAGACAGGGAAGAGGATGAATGGGTCATTTTCAGGTTTGCAAACTATAGCTAGTGGAATACAACAGGTATTAGTGTTGGGGCTTCAGTGATTTACAACCTATAATGATGATTGGGAATGAAAGGATACATTGCACTTTAGCCAATTTGGCTTACAATACAAAGACAGGTGGAAAAGCAGGTTGTGAAGATGGCAGAAGAACCTAGACAGGTTAAGGCAGTGGGCAAAATTTAGTGCCTGTAGGAACATGTGAGGCCATCCAGCTTGGTGGGAAAAATAGGAAAGCAGAAAATTATGTACACAGAGACAGATGAAGAACGTTGTGTTACCAAGGGATCTGGGTGTCCTCACACGTGAATCACAAAAATTTACAGGTACACCAAATAATTTGAAAGGAAAATGAAATATTGGCTTTATTGTAAAGAAGATGGAGTATAAAAATTGGGCAGCCTTGCTACTTCTGTACAGAGTGTTGGTGAGACCAGACGTGGTAAAGGATATATTTGCATTGGAGCCCTTTCAGAGAAGGTTCACCACATTCTTCAACCTCAGTCGAAGAGGTTATATGAGGAAATGTTGAACAGTTGGGCCTATATCAGAGCTTAAAGGAAGTGAGAGGTGATCTTATTGATGCATACAAGATACTGAGGGGGCTTGACAGGGCAGATACTGCGAGAATGTTTCCCCTCATGTAGGGGGGGAGGGGGTGTCAAGAATTAGCAACATAACTTTCAAAATAAAGGGTCTCTCATTTAAGATGAAGACAAGGAGAAATTTCTTTACTCAGGGGGTGATTAATCTTTGGAATTGTCTTACATAGCAGCGGTTGCTGGGTCATTGAACATATTCAAGGTTGGGTTAGAAATATTTTTGATCCACGATAAAGTTAAGGGTTATTGGGAGCAGATAGAAAAGTGGAGTTGAGGGCAAGGTCAGATCAACCATGACCTTTTTGAATGATGGGCAGCCTCAAGGAACTAACTCTTGCTCCTGTCTTTTATGTTCTCAGAGGTTGCACGTCTGGAGTAATTTAGAGATACATTACAATGAGGTCTTGGAGGAGCTTGAACATGAAAATAAAATGAAAATTAAGGCATTAATATATATGTTAATCCGGATGGCTACAACTGCTTTCCATTTCCACCAGATTTATAAACTTATGTTGACAGACGAAGTCCACAATTAAAGGAATAAATCTTATTTTACAGACTAAATTCAGAAACAAATTGAATTACCAGGCAGTATTAATTTCTTATTCAAGTATCAATTTTTAAGTACTGTTTTAGGATGGAAAGAGGACGAACATAGACTGAAAAGATGCCGTATTGAGTATCAGAACTTTGTGGCATCTCACAAAAAACAAGTTGCTCTTAAGTACAGAGATAACAAGGTGTAGAGCTGGATGAACACAGCAGGCCAAGCAGCATCAGAATAGCAGGAAGGCTGACGTTTCAGGCCTAGACCCTTCTTCAGAAATGGGGGAGGGGAAGGGGGTTCTGAAATAAATAGGGAGAGAGGGGGGCGGATAGAAGATGCATAGAGGAGAAGATAGGTGGAGAGGAGACAGACAGGTCAAAGAGGCAGGGATGGAGCCAATAAACGTGAGTGTAGGTGGGGAGTTAGGGAGGAGATAGGTCAGTCCAGGGAGGACGGACAGGTCAAGGGGGCGGGATGAGGTTAGTAGGTAGGAGATGGGGGTGGGCTTGAGGGGGGAGGAGGCGATAGGTGGGAGGAGGGGATAGGTGGGAGGAAGGACAGGTTAGGGAGGTGGGGACAAGCTGGGCTGGTTTTGGGATGCGGTAGGGGGAGGGGAGATTTTGAAGCTTGTGAAGTCCACATTGATACCATTGGGCTACAGGGTTGCCAAGCGGAATATGAGTTGCTGTTCCTGCAACCTTCAGGTGGCATCGTTGTGGCACTGCAGGAGGCCCAGGATGGACATGTCATCTGAGGAATGGGAGGGGGAGTTGAAATGGTTCGCAACTGGGAGGTGCAGTTGTTTAGTGCGAACTGAGCATAGGTGTTCTGCAAAGCAGTCCCCAAACCACCACTTGGTTTCCCTGATGTAGAGGAGGCCACAACGGGAACAGCGGATACAGTATACCACATTAGCAGATGTGCAGGTGAACATCTGCTTGATGTGGAAAGTCTTCTTGGGGCCTGGGATGACCCCCCTCAATGGTCAAGAACACCCTTGACCGTGTCTCCCGCATTTCCCGCAACTCATCCCTCACACCCTCTGCCCGCGATCATAACCAAAACAGAATCCCCCTCGTCCTCACATACCACCCCACCAACCTCCAGATTCAACGCATCATCCTCCGACACTTCCGCCATCTGCAATCCAATCCCACCACCAAAGACATTTTTCCCTCCCCACCCTTATCTGCTTTCCGGAGGGACCACTCTCTCCGGGACTCCCTTGTCTGCCCTCCCCTCCAGCCCCACCACACCCGGCACTTTTCCCTGCAACCGCAGGAAGTGCTACACCTGCCCCTACACCTCCCCCTTCACCCCCATCCCAGGCCCCTCCCACTACCGCATCCCAAAACCAGCCCAGCTTGTCCCTGCCTCCCTAACCTATCCCCTCCTCCCACCTATCCCCTCCTCCCACCTCAAGCCCCACCCCCATCTCCTACTTACTAACCTCATCCCGCCCCCTTGACCTGTCCATCCTCCCTGGACTGACCTATCCCCTCCCTAACTCCCCACCTACACTCACCTTTGCTGGCTCCATTCCCACCTCTTTGACCTGTCTGTCTCCTCTCCACCTATCCTCTCCTCTATCCATCTTCTATCTGCCTTTACCTCTCTCCCTATTTATTTCCAAACCCCCTTCCCCTCCCCCATTTCTGAAGAAGGGTCTAGGCCCGAAACGTCAGCCTTCCTGCTCCTCTGATGCTGCTTGGCCTGCTGTGTTCATCCAGCTCTACACCTTGTTATCTCAGATTCTCCAGCATCTGCAGTTCCTAATATCTCAGCTCTTAAGTACAGTCGTCTGTATGTTGGCAAAGGTGGCAACCATTTTGTGTACAACAGAAGTGCAAACAGCAAGAAGTGGCAGTTAATCTGATTTTGGCACCTTTGAATGAGAAGGATGTTGGCTATAACACAGAATTTTTGTGGTCCATTAGGTAGAGCCACAAGATCTGAAAAAAATCACCTTTTGCAAGTAAAATATGGCTTCAGGTGAACAAGTCTTTCAAAGGACAATTTCTAAAATAAAACAGTGCTCTTCTAGCACTCCAGCGTTCACTGAAATAATGTGCTCAGACTCTGGTGCAGGGCTTTAGGCTGTGCCTTTCTGACTGAAGGGCTAATGTGTAACTAGCTAAGCCAAGCATTGCCAATCCATTGTACAGTACATGTTTTGGCCTTTTTAGTTTAATGTTCCCACACAATTTTAGCATGGCATAAAACATACCTTCCAGCAATCAGAGCAAACTACTAATAGCAAACGTTCGGTATAAGTACAGAAACAGACCGCTTGACAATTAAAACATTGGAGTGACTTGGATTCTGCTTCAAAAACATCCTCTCTCGCCTGCAAAATACAAAAGAAATACCAATAAAGGCAATGTAGAATCTGTATTGTAGTAGAAAGCAGAATTTCTACAATGTCAAGTGCATGTTTTGCAACGAGCTGACCTGGATACCATTAACTGATGAAGAAAGGTCCCACACTTTCAGGTCTCCTGTCACTGATATGGCCACTAAGGAATCCTCTGCAAAATAAAATCACAGAAGAGAAATATTTAATATATTACGTAGCCTATTAGCATTTAAAACTATGTAGGTCTAAAAGACGTGGTTCTAAATGTGGGCCTTTAATATTAAAGTACCAAATATGTCTGAGTAATGGTTGATCGCAAGTAAAAGTCGATCCCTAACCTTTTTAGACAAATTCTTTGTACTTATCACCCACTCGGCCTGGAGGTCACACATGCCTTGTTGCAATCCCACTCACTGTAGAACAGAGCATTATTGAAGATATTTTGTGTCTGCACACATTAACACATGATGTCAAGATGATCACTTCAATAGCACATACTGCGTTTGTTTAGCACATTTGGGAGCGCAGTTGGAGGAAACAGCCTCCAACCTGATGGCTCTGTGATAGTGAGATGTTGGGAGAGGGTGGATTTCAACCCCTTGAAACTATTACTCGTGTAAAAGTTAATCCGCTGCTTTTTAGCTAAAAATGTGGCGGAGAAACAATACTTTTACAAGAGTATATGTGGTGACATAAAGCTTGTCTCAAATCTTCAAATGAAAGCACAATGAACATATATATAGTTAACCTATCCTGTTAAAATGTATATTTGGAGAATTGTTTATTATTAAAATGTTTATTTTCTATTCAAAGCACTCCAATTTCATTTTGTTTTTAAATAATCAGTACCTTTTTTTAAAGCAATTAACATAAATTTTAGACTGGTATAAACCAGTGTCATCAATCCACGATACACATTGTGATGAAAGCTGTGTGATTTATGTGTATATAAATTAATCTTATTTTTTAAAAATAGTTTAACTAGTGGCACAAGTTTAGTCTAATTGTGTGAAGCAGTTTAATAATTAACTACATCAGTATTTTTGGCACCATGATTTTAAATCAGTATGTGTTCGAGAGCAGATGACTAAAGGCCTCATGGAGGGTTAATGTAAGTTTCTTTATATTACGGGTTTTAGAACAGTAGAAGAAATCAATAAACAATTAGTTTAACAGTAGTTGGATGGGTAAGAGTTTGTTTGACTTAGTTAAAAAGCTTTTGAAAGCAGTTTGAAGGAGAACTGACTGAAACTGGATGTAGGAATAGTTTCTCTTAGTAAAAGGAGTTTGTTCAGAGCAGTTAAGGGGAAAATAAGTTACCTCAGTGTAAGGCTTTCAGTTTGTGAAACCTTCATACCAGGAGCTGTTCTGAAGAAGGGTCACTGGATCCATAATGTTAACACTGTTTTATTTCCACAGATGCCATGAGACCTCCTGAGTTTTTCCAGCAATTTCTTGTGCTTGCTTAGAATTCTGGGTTGGTTATTCAAAGCTGAGAAAGCCTAACATCCCAGTTGTAAGAAACAAAGAAAAAGGCATCACAGTTCACAGGACTGGAAATGACCTCGACTAATCTGTCTATCCCCTAGACTCTTTGACTCTCTTGTTAAGTCACTCTACAGATTTGATAGGGAAGAAAAATTTCTCTGAATTTTGTTTAATTGCACAATGATTGTGTTGGGGAGTAGATGTGATTTTGTTTTGCTGGGTTTTGAAATCTTTTAAATTGTGTAATATGTTTACTTGGTTTGATTTACTTTATTTTTTTTAATTTTGTGTAATAAACTTCTGTTTAATTGTTAAAACCAAATCTGTAGCCTGGCTTTTTCAGTGAAAGACAATTACGCTAAACTGAAAAGAAGAACAACATATGATCCATCAAGACAGATTTCTTTCTGGGATCTGACTGATCCAGTAGTAACTAACATTTCTGCTAAGTTGCATGATTGCACAGATGCTTGTAGGTTCTACACATGCCCCGTTGGTGTGCTGACCTCTGGCTCTGCTAGTCACTGCGGCACTCAAACTTTGGAAGTCTGAACAGCAGAAGCAAAAATTACAGAGAATGTAGGTAGTAAGATACCGGGATCCTAAAAATATCCAGAGTACATTAGGGAGTATAGTAGAATGGTACTGTAATAGATGGATGCTTAAAGGATGCTTCACCGAAGAAAGGGACCAGACTGGTGGACAGTTTAAAAATGTAGAGTCTCCCATTTAAGACAGAGATGAGGAGAATTATTTTTCTCTCAGAGGGTTGTGGTCTATGGAATCCTCTTCAGAGATCAAACTGGCTCACTGAATGTGTTAAAGGCTGAATTTGACAGATTCTTGCCCAACAAGAGAGTCAAAGAGTATAGGGGATAGACAGGTCAGTGCAGGGGGGGGTTAGACAGGACAGTGTACGCGGGGATAGACAGTGCAGGGGGGATAGACAGGTCAGTGTAGG